CACCCTTCCTCCATATCTCAACAAGCTCTTTCAAAATCGCCTCCTTCTGGTCCTCTTTATTGCTCGCTAAAATGAGAGAAACATTGATAGAAGTTAGAGTGTGAAACAAATTGAGTCATTGTACAAACAACAACAGGAACAGCCAGTATTGTCTTACCTCCAGCAATGGCTGATAGTTGTTCCAGTATAAGCAAAATCACTACAATTCCCAACTTGCCCATCCTAAGTTCCATTGCCTCAAGGTAGAATGGACAAAGTCATTTTGTTGTCTTTGTAAGACTGCATTTGAGTTCCTTTAGGAGCTGACGGAGACATTCAGAGCGTAAAGTGTCAGACTGTGGAGTGCACATGAAATCTTAATGACTATCCACTGTCACTTGGCTAAACTTTCACAAAGAAAAGTTTGCCACTTTCTAAACTATACAATAGGGTTTTTTTTTTTTTTTTTCAGTAAGAGAGAAAAAAATCTCACCTGAATTTCTCAGATTTGTCTTAAAAAAATACATTTAAATGCTACAACTAAATTTGGATTTCATGCATTAATTAAAAACTACAAATTAGACTAAAACTTACCTATATGCATCTTGTCTCAAAAAACAAAACATAAAATTCAGGCATTTGTAATATACTAAGAAATCAAAGGATTTTTAGTACTTACAAGAAGTTGCATTCCTTTAATCCCGTCAGTATCTATGAAAATAGGACTGTGCTTGAGTGTGAGCAAATTCTTTCTCTGTCCTTCTCTCTACATCCTTCTCTCTCAGCATTTGTCACTTTTAGATCCGCTCCCCCTCCCAGTCTTTGAGATTCAATTGGATCCTCAAAAGCCACAGCTTCATGTTTCAGCGACATCGTCCCATCATGTGCCAGCTGACTGTGTGCTGGAGTGAGAGGCCAGAGGCTCAGGGATGTAATATGAGAAAAGAGAAAGGCCAAGGAACTTTAAGAGGGTATACTCTTGTATCACAAGGCAATTTCATAGTAATTAAGATTAAAGGAGTTACAAAGGTAGGTCATTACTTTCGACTGAGGCTAAAACAGGGCACAGTAGATATACAATAGATAAAGCACTTTCAGATAATGCTGCATAATAAACAATCAATTGTATAATCATTCTTTCAAAGTCTTCTGATGGAAATGTTGTATCATGTATCATGTATGGTGATGTTTGAGAATTATTTATACACTACAGTATATGTAAATCTATAATATCATAGTATTTATTAATATTTTGAATATATCATTCATTTTCATTTTAGCCATTGTTATGTGCTTTTGTCATTTCTATTTGTTATGTTGTATTTCTATTTAGCTTTAATTTATTATTTATTATTATAATTTTATTATTATTTTAGTTTTAGGCATTTTTAAACTTCAACTTATTTTACTTCAATTAGTTGCCAAGGCAACATGTCTAATTTTCAGTTTTATAATAACACTTACCACCAGTGTTATTTCAGTATTTTTATACTATTTTTTATACTATACAGTATACTATTACATTATTTAATAATGTTTTGTATTAGCTTTTTCATTATTTTGTTTCATTTTATTTTAACTTTTAATTATTTTGTTATCTGCTTTTGTCATTTTTATTCATTTTTTTTATATTTCTACTTAGCTTTTTTATTTATTTCAATTTGAGTTTAGGTATTTAAACTCTAACTTAGTTTAATTCATATAATTTCCAGGGCAACACTTCTAGCTTCATTCTATTGTAGTACTTATTGTTTACTTATGATTGTTTTGAATTTGAATACATTTTTAAATTATTATTTTTTATTTTAATTTTAGTTCAAGTTTTTGTTTTGTTATGTGCTTTTGTCAATTTATTAGGTTTTTGTTTTATATTTCTACTTTTTATTTCAGTTTAAGTACTTCAGCTTAAACTTATTTTAATTCATTTTAGTTGCCAAAGCAACACTTCTAACTTTTAAGTATTGCATCTAATTTTTTTATTTTATTTAAATGAAACAAAAAAAGTCAACTTTTTTTTCCTGAAAGGCTTGCATAAAGCACTTAATCATAATTTAATCACTATGAGCCCTACTTTATTCTTCAATCTGACATCTCATGAGGTAATTTTCACCTGTGCCAAAACTGACATAAAGCGGTACCCTTGTCCTGGTGGGTATTGTTTTACTTATGTGGCAGCCAGCAGGTCGCCTACAGCTGTCATAAAACAAAAGTGTCCCTTAGCCACTGTCAGCACACAATCAGGCCCTTCACCGATGTTCAAAATCATCTCGCTCTTGTCTGAGGCCTGTCTACAGCAGCTGAAACCCGAGTGGATTGAGTGAAAGGCCTAGCACAGCCTCCCCACAAGCCTTTTAATTCTGTGTTGCTGTCGCCTGCAGCGGAACAATAACTTCCTCTTGTATTATTGATGCCTGAGGGAGCGGCGGTCACTCGGCAGCATGGAGCTCAGTTGGCTGCAGGAATATTAAATGAGAAACTTTACTCCTCATGCCTCTGACTAACTCCACTCAAATCACGCACAGCGGTGAGCTTGTTTGTTATCTCTGACGTGCATATGACTAAACTATGTTCAAAAATACAGTTAAGGAAAAAATCTTAGGTGCTGTCTGACTGGATAACTGTGAATTGTATATGAAAACAGTCAAAGGAGCTCACTGATCCAATGTAGACAAACTCCAGACATGAGCCTTAGCTTAAGTCTGTCTCAACTTATAAAGGCATGTGAGACGAAACACAGTACCAAAGCATCTGGTCCAGTGCAACATACATGATACATGATTTTGCATTTCACTCCCCCCCAAAATAATGTCTTGTTAGACATATATACGCTACATATATATTTACTCACCAAACATTTTTAGGCCCTTATTTTCACACCTCTGAATCATTCTTCTCTGTCTGGTTGGGACAATTAATTCCTGCGTACCTAAAATAATACTATGAAAAAGTATTTTAAGAACCATTTGTTCCAGTGGGGGGAAAAGACTAGCAATCCACATGCTTATAGTAGCCTATATATAGTACTTAAGTTCCATATATTTTGTTTGTTTGGTTTCATGCACTTGCAGGTTCAAATTTTGACACTCAGAGAGCAATCAAAACTAATTCAAGAAAATACATAAATGATATCACAAAAAAAAAATACGACAAAAGCAAGCAGCTTGTAGAGTGTATTAGGCCTCAAGTATGTCTTATCTTTTTTCTTAATACTGTTAATACAAAACATAAGAATTCAAATTCTTAATAATATCACAAATAACTTATTTAAGTTAGAATAACCTCTTGTCTTGACTAAGGTGTCTTAAATCCAAAAAGGTAGGATGTTTAATTAATTAAGTGGATTGTTGCAATTATTAAGCAGGGCAACATAACACTTGTTATATAATAGCCTACTACAATTTTTTTATCATCTAGCACGTAAATTGTCTTAATGTCATTAAACTAAAACATCTCACGCACTTTACATTAAAAATGCTACTTAAGTTTACATATTTAGCCTACCAGTGTAACGCACTGACAAAGCAATCATATGGGTTGAATACAATAGTTTACAATCAGACAGACAACAACAAACCCTGTTAATTAATATCTAAGAAAATGTTTAATCTTCTTAAGAAAATATTTGGGACGGTAAGGATCAACGACACGCACGATTTTGTTAAGAATTACACTTAAGAACATTGTTACAAACTTCAGAATCTTGAAAACTACAAAGCGTCGACGCGGCTTGGGCTGTTTTTGCTTTTATACAACAGTTCCATCAACAATTAGTTAATGTTAAGCACTTAGCCTACATTTGAGACTTTTTTTATCTGTTTTCGGGCGAAAATATAGTCTAGTTCCAAACAAAGCCACAGAGAACCATTGCAACACACTGTGTAGTATTTCGTTTCTGAATGATTCAGTAGTGTCTTTTGAGCAATTACAGATTTAAGGAATGATTCAGTGACTCATACATGAAGTTCCGCTTCTGGATAAAACAACATTAACGAACCGTTTAAATGAACGATTCAATTACTCACTCATAAAGATTCGTTCTTAAACGAGTCAATCAACGTTTCTGAACAAATCGGTTGAATGACTCACTCGTAAAAACAGTCACTTGTCGCCACCTACTGGTGTGTCGATGTAAAACGATCACGTAGATCAGTGGTTCCCAGTTAAAATGGTTAAAATGTACTGTACCTAAAAGTTAAATAAAACTGTACTGTACTTAAATGTAAAGTAAAAAAAATGTATAGTACTTGATCAAAAAACTTTAACACAGGCGTCGTTTAGCCACCTTGCAAACTTTTAAAAAGTGTTTTAACACTTTTATAATAATTTATAATTTAATTTATATTTAATTCAGTGATTCCTCTGCGTACCACTGGAGGAAGCCCGCACTTTGGGAGTCAGTGACATAGATTATTCACAGCCGGACAGTCTGTCTGGTGAAAAGTCTCAGCGCTGTTGGTTGAAACGCTGTAAAAAATTTAAAAAAAGAAATACATTTATTTTCGGCCTAAGGATGGGAAAGGACTGGTCAGCCCTATTGGTCACGAGTAAAAGATAAAGAATAAAATATGAAAAGTAGGCTACTATTGAAAGAACACTGTAACTCAACCAGACTTCCCAGAAACTCCTCTAGTAAAATAAATAAATAAAATAGAAACCAAGCAGTGACTATTCTATATTTTACAACAGTGCTATGACTAGTTCCCTCCCCCCCCCACAGTCACAAGGCAGTCATGTGCGGGTTAGTCATACCGGGAACCGCAGCTCTATGCCATGCAGTCAGAACTAACTAAACACCCTTGCATTGAAGTAACATAATATTCACACAGGGGGCGCTCAGTGGCTCAAAAAATACAAAATAGACTCTTTAAACACGTTCGGATATTTTATTCTAGACGTTAGTCTATTAATAATCTCACTTTGTTTCAAAAATAGTAAATATATTTACGGAAAGTTTGATATTTCAGTAGCGTTACTTGCTAAATTTGGGCGTCGAGCGAGCAAATCAAGCCGGAAGTAGACGTCATAGCCCAAGGGGCGGAGCGAACGACTGACAAACATGCATCAGAATGAACCTCTGTAAACTATCATAAACTACAAATCATGGGGTTCATCTTTCAAAGACAGCGCTCTATATCGAAATACATATATTTTACTAACCAGTGTTTGGCAGAGGCGTCTGTCCTCTCTCGCTAGTTTCATTTTTTTAATGAATTTATGGCCGCTATGGATTACCTGCTGCAGGTGAAAGTTGGAGCTCTGGTTGGGCTGCTGATCCTAACTTTGTTTTTTGGTTTTATCCCAGCGCGGATGAAATGGTTTCAAGTCTCTAGTGGAACAGGTAAATGATCATTTACGTTTTTTTATGGTGGTCATCAATTTTACTGTACTATACGTGATCCTTTCAGTCATCTGTCGCCTCCTCCCAGCCTAAGCATGTTTATTTACTGTATGTACACATTATTATGTCGTGCCTCTGCTCGTTATTTGTGTTTAAGAATGTATGTTCATGTATGTATGTGCTTAATGTACTGTATATGTGTACCACACATAAGGAATTTGCCCAGTCTTGGCTTCATACAAGTACAAACACATGAGAGTCAGGTGAAAAGGACAGCTAGATGATTTTTTTCTAAAACTTGCATTTTACTCACAGATGGACATCAGAGTGGAAGTGAAACTGGCGTTTGAACATTGTTAAACAAGCAAAAACCTCTGCAAAACATGAATTATGACCACAACGGTCAGAAACAGCCTAAGGATTTTACGAACAATCAAATATATGTATGCTTTTGAACGCAGTCTTCACCTTAGACACAGATAGATGTCACAAATAATTGCTGGTGAAACCAGAATAGGATGTGGATTTCACACGGTTATTAAGCTAGTTATCAGGTTTTCAGTTGAGTTAAATGTCATCAGTGCTTTGGATAGATAGTTTTGAAATTGTAGGGCTCTGCTTTATCAAGTGGCTTAATGCAATTACAGTTATACTTGATACTTTAGGTTGTGGCATGGGTAAATAAAATGCTTATGCATTGCTTAGTTACGATGAGTTTTTCATTATTTTCGGGTATTTGATTATAATCTCCTCTTTTACTTTGGCTGATTAGCTAACAGGAGTGATTAGAGAAAGACTGTACCATTGACATCAGTCAACGGCACCATTAATCAATGTAACGGGACTTTGATTTGTTTTTCTCTGTCTCCAGTGACCCACAGGGCCGTGCTGAGTTTTGTGAGCTGCTTCGCGGGTGGCGTCTTCCTGTCCGCCTGTTTGTTAGATATCATCCCAGATTACCTTTCCGACATACATGAAGAGCTACAAAAGCAAGGCCTTGATGTGAGCTCACCGAATATTGGAATTGCTCTGTTAAATGCAGTCTGTTCCTGTAATTCCTATTTGTTTCTAATGCCACTTCTCCTCATCATCCAGGAAGGCTTCCCGCTTGCAGAGTTCATCATGGCGTGTGGCTTCTTCACAGTCTTGATCTTGGAAAAGATAGTTCTGAGTTGCACAGAGGGCCACAGAAATGAGGAGACGGCTCCTCTTTTAGCTCCTGCAGGTAACGGACATGCCCATGGACATCACTCGCTGAATGATCTGGAAGGGAGCGGTCACCACGTCCACGTGGATTTTCACGCGCACTCGTCCTTCCGCTCCTTCATGCTCTTCCTGTCTCTCTCTCTCCACTCGGTGTTTGAGGGTTTGGCCATTGGCTTGCAGACCACAGACACGAAGGTGATTTATTGAGTTTTGTTTTGTTTGACAGCTCCCTGTTGAGTCACTGTGCTGACCTGGTTAGAAAGCTGATAAAAGTTTTGGGTTCAAAGGTTTACAGGTTAAATATTTAGCATCATGACTTCAAATCATGCTGTTTATGTAGGGTGTTATCCTGTGATGCCAAAACACTTTAAATTCACTAAACACTTTAAAAATGTTAAAGGAGAGGGTTCACCCAAAAATGGAAATTTTCATTATTTACTCACCCTCGTGTTTTTTCTGTGGAACACAAAAGAAGATATAAATGTAAAGTCCGTTTTAATAACAGAAAACAGGGCTGCACAATTTGCAAAAACATCTAATAGCGATTTTATTCATATGTGACCCTCTCTGTGAAATCCAGGCTAAAGTCTCTAAATCTAATTATGAGATAACAAGCATCAAAGTTTGATTTCAACCATTAATTTCACTATGATTTCAATCTTTGACATGGCCTTACTCAGTCAATATTAAAGATGTAAAGGTTACATTTTCACTGAATGTTCTTTGCCTTATGAAGGATGATTTTATGTAGAAAACAGTAAATCACAAAAACGACTTTAGCTGGGTTTTCACAGCCAGTATCACATATTTTCTCTCTTTTTTGTGATTTTAAAATGCAGTTTAAAAAAAAAGCTATGCTTGCTTGTAGAGCTGCACAATTTGGCCACAATTTTGTTTTTATATATCAATGTGACTATAAAATTATTAGTAATGATAATTATTATTACTAAAAAGTTTTTAAACAAAATAAGGAAAGCTACTATTGTAATGTTTCACTATAAAATAAAAAAGTTAAGTGAATAAGAAAACTTCTATGATATTATCATTATTAAACAATTTCAAACAAAATAAGAAACGTTACTATTGTAAAAAAAAAAAAAAAATCAGAATAGCTTCATTTTAAATGGGAAGCGTGTTAAAATTAGTGCTGTCAAACGATTAATCATGATTAATCACATCCAAAATAAATGTTTTTGTTTACATTATATATGTATGTGTACTGTGTATATTTATTATTTATATATAAATACACAAACATACAGTATATATTTTGAAAATATTTACACGTTTATATATTCATATTCTTATATTTTATAATATATATAAATTTATTTGATATATAAACATAACATATTTTTCTTAAATATATACATGCATGTGCTTGTATTGATACATACATAATAAATATACACAGTACACACACATATATTATGTAAACAAAATCTTTTATTTTGGATGCGATTAATCACTTGACAGCACTAGTTAAAATATATTGTGTATCATCATGGCTTTAAGTAAGCCATGATTACGGTAAGTAAATGACAGTTTCTTTTTGAAATCTATTTAGATATAAATATTAGAATCACAGTTTTTATAACTAGCCATTTGTGTATAATAATTACACTTGACCTTTAAAGTCAATGAAAAGAAAATACTAGGTGACGTTTGATTTTATCAACCAGGAATTGACCTATGTGGTGGTGTTTGGGGGGGGCTTGGTGACTTCAGCAAAAAAGTAAAGTTGTTTCATTGGCTTACATTTACATGAAGGCTTGTGAAGACCATTTTGCTTCTTTTGGAATAATGCACAACTGTAATACATGTAATTGGAATAATGTAATGATGAATATAACCTAGTTTGACTTCACTCGTCTCTCTGCTCAGGTGCTGGAGATCTGCATCGCTATTCTGGTCCACAAGAGCATCATCGTCTTCAGTCTGTCAGTGAAGCTGGTTCAGAGTGCGGTCAGGCCCCTGTGGGTGGCGCTCTACGTGGCCGTCTTCGCTGTGATGTCTCCACTCGGCATTAGCATCGGCATCATTGTGATCGAGGCTCAGCTGGAGGCTGGCGCTTTGATCCAGGCGGTGCTGGAGGGGCTGGCGGCTGGGACGTTTGTCTACATCACCTTCCTAGAGATCCTTCCCCATGAACTGAACTCCCCTGAGCGGCCTCTGCTCAAAGTGTTCTTCCTCCTGTGTGGTTTCTCAGTAATGGCTGCTCTGAGTTTCCTGGGCTGAAAAATACTTTGCATTTTTTCGTGTCCCATGGCCAGAAAACTGGAACCTTCACAAACTGCATGTGATTTCAAGGAAACGAAAGGCTCAGTTTGCTTGTTTTTTTTAGAGGAACTGATATTTACAAGCACAAAGATGCTGATGTCTTTAAAAACTTTGACCAGATAATTTATCAGTTTTAAATGAGGAAAAAAAGAAATTTTCCTCAGCACTGAGAAACATAGTATCTGACATGTAAATGGAGTCTTTTACAGATTTTTTTTTTTT